TTTACACTGATTATCCAAATTCCTAACTTAGCTCGCAATGAAAGGCTTCAAAGTTTAGCAGAGTTTTACAAGAAAATTATGATAAAACTAAAGACACTCGTTCCTAAGTAAAATTAATTATGTAAAATGAAGTCTGTGACGAGGTACTACATGTGTAAGTCGGTCACACGTCGTTTCTCTCTCAGTGTTAGAGTTTGAAGTGAGAATGTACGAGGCGCGACAAGGCAACTAATGGCCGAGTTTATTTATTTATTTCTTCAGACTTCGCATACTGCACACAACGCTTAGTGGCCCGTGGGAACGAACCCGACTACTGGAATATCGGAATATTCCATCATATTCTAATGCAGTGTTAGAAATCTAGTGTTAAAAATCAAATATAGTGTTAAAATCAAATTGTTAAAAGGAAGTTTGCAATTAATTTGGAAACGAAGCTCATAAGTCCATAAAATAAACTTTTATATACCTTTATTATTCTTCCGATATAGTTAGTTGATTGTCGTCGATTGATGGTTAAATGTGGTTGATAAAATCTGACAGGGGTTCCACCTTCACTGAAGTTGATATCGTTACATTACGTGCGATGTCTCTGCCAATAGCTACTTTCACCAAAAGAACTCAAATATGAAACTTTTTGAGGGAGACTTTTATTTTGTGAAGATTTCCTCGTTTTAAAACTTCATTAGCGATACAGAAGAACTTGTTAACCCAACATTATGTTAAGCAAACAAAACTGTTTTCTTAATACAAGTACTTTTCTCTTTACGTACAAAGTTTGTTTGTCATTTATTTTATTTGATTCGTTTGCCTACCATGTTGTACAACGTAATAAACAACATTAATTCGTTTCGCTTCACCCGGTAATTTGGCGCGGTAAAGAAAGACAAATTACACACAAATTCCTCTAGATACTATGCAAATTTACTAAGCATCATAATAAATCTTCAGTGCCCGACAAATGTAGAACAAAAATTACATATTACGGAACGCCTCAAGTACAGAAATTAAGTTTTTGTCGTTGAAAACAGATTAAACGTCAGTCAGGCTCTGTCGTTGACGGGCGGCGCAATTTTTTATATTAAAAACTCAATGCGAGTAAAAATGTGAACTCACTGGCTATGGCCGGCTAAATAAGGACAAAAGGTCTCGTAGTGCCTAAAAGCGTTGCCTTAAAAGAAAGACGGGGACTAACCCTAGCAGGCTGCGACTGGCCACGTCATGCAGTGCCGCCAAAACTTCAGCTAAAACAATATACATAGTTTGTTTTCAAATTCGCTCGACACCGAAAATGTATTTAGGTCAATTAAGAACTTTCCTAACTTTATGTTGTTACCTGTATGCAGTATCTAACACTTTTAAATGTGGGTTTGTATTGCAAGATACTTTTATAGAACTTTTTAAAACAACATGACTCATATTGCACTTCGTATTCTTTAATGAATCATAATTCATCAGTAGTAAGTATGTATATTTGTCTACTACATACCTATCAACATCCAATAAGTGTTGCCCTGCTAAACGATTTGTAACCATTTCTGGTGTTATGTAGGTTCGTCTGTTTATCAACACCTATAACTGCTTGACTTATTTGAAGTTCTGAGGAAGACTATAATCAGTTCCCAAGATGATGCCCACGCTCCTCCCACATTAAGTTCAACACTTTCATATGCATATATGTAGTTCACACGACCAACGCACGTCAACTACACTATACAAGCTAAAACTTTTAATTATATCCGTCACTATAAAAGAAATGACACGATTTTGAACTACCTATAGAACATTTTAATTGGGAAACTTGATTAACCACTGCTGTGCATACAACGCGCTCTACGGTAAACTAAAACAAACTCTAATAAGTGAAACTTGAGTTCTTTTTGTTCCTGGCAAAAACGTGAACAAACTGTGATAAGTTCGTATAAAAACTAAAAGGTAAAATAACAAAATTGTTCGCTTGAAATTACTTTTTTGCATTTAAAACGAAAATGCAGGGAAACGCAAGTCCTCTGTAAAATATTGCTTACTGGCGCAATCGAATGAAAATAAGACGATCGGCGGCCGAGCGGACGATTTCACAGAAAATGCAGGAATGCAACGACATTAATACGAAATCGTGGCTAAATTTTACAACGTACATCAAACATTTTAATAGATTTTCAACCTTAAACTTATGTAATAACGTTGAAAATTAAAACAAATTGGGGTAGGTTGATATGCTAGTCCGTAAAATCTTATTACGTGAGTGGAACCGCGACGTAATTTAGATAGTTAATGAAGGCGCGCGTCACCGCCCGCTCTAGCGCTCTGCAGGTTCTCGTTATTGCTGAAAATGTAAGTACGTTTCGACCAAATTAAGCTCAAACTGAGCTCGTGCGCGCTGCGAGAGTGCAAACGACAAGCTAGACCGAAACATAAACTTATTTAAACTCACATTAGCCTGCATACGAGCGCTGTATTATAATAATTTTACTGTATTAATTAATGTAACAAACAACACACGCTGCGACATAAAGGTCTCGGATAAATCGGTCGCACTCTGTTCCGTGCTACTGCAGTGACTCTGAAGAAATAAATAAAATAGGATGTTAATTCTAGCAATACTAGATAAAACAACTTTGATCAGAATTTCGATTTTATTTCTCGTATACCTGCATAGAATTGTAAAAGTGCAACGCTAAAGTTTAGAACTACGCTCATTTTATTAGAATCGCTACAAAGTTATCTCGTAGAACGTTTTTTCTTATTTCCTCGCAAAGATTTTCCAATATCATAAACAAAGAAGAAAATTGGTAACAAAATCTTTGTGTGAGATAAGTAAATATTAGGGTTTAGACGGGCGAACCCAATATTATATCTTAACTAGGATTTTTTCGGGGCTGCGAAGTTGTTCGCTGCTAATAAGCTTATTACTAGTTCTAATGTTACGTGTATACAATTTTTGGGAGAACCCTTTTCTAAATAGGTTCTTTCTCACGCATAACATTATACTGTAATTGGGTTAGAAGAAAACAAACATTTTTTCTCAGCAGTTTTGTTCCATAGAAAATGATCCTGTCAGCTCAAACCAAGTCTCTATGCTAAAACTAAAACCTAAATAACACTTTACCGTCTTACAAAATATTAAATTCAATGAAATGAAACTCAAACGATGCTAAGTCGTAGTTCACGTCAGTAAGTTGTTAACAGTTACATAAGCAACTACTTCTCGACACGTCTTTTACATTTTCTAAGGAGCTACAGCTAACTTAGACAGTTCTCGTCAAGTTTCGTACTGGTTAGCACAAAGGCTTGCAGGGAAACTTGGAAAATGTTGTAAGACGTTTCTGTACGACAGTCATTTATCACTTGTGAGTGGAGGGCCACGCACAAACAGATACATAGTCGTCACGACGCGACGTACCGCCTCGTCCCGCCACGTACCGCGCGCCACCCGGGGAACAGATTGCCGCCGGCCACACTCTAAGATATCTCCGCTACGTAGGCCGCCTATAAACGTAAGCCGGAATATTAATTCCACTCCGAACATTTTGTTTGTTTAGTATAACACAAATCCGCTTATAATACGTTCTTCATTTTCAATCTTCCCGCAGTTTATCGTCCACGTCCCTCCCGAGGGCACGACTGAGTTGCGAACCTGCTCCACTGTTTTTAAAAGAATAAAAGCTCAACAGAAAGTAATGAAGTAAGTGGGTCTGCAGAGACAATTGAATGGAAGCACGAGTAGTTCTTGGTAGTTAATATTCTGCACGAAAGCAACGCCCACCTGACTCCCCCGTACGGCGCAATTTCTTAATCGAGGGCCATTAAGCACGACATTTATTTATTCTATTTGGCTTTGCGGCGCTAAGAACAAAGGATTCAGTCGGAATGCAAGGTACTCTCCAGTTAACGTAGTAAGTTTAAATACGAGTAATGAATATATAACTCTCAGGCTCATTGGCTCCACAGGTTAGACAATATCTCAATGAGAGCATACTGAAATTCGAACAATTTGTGGATATAAGCGGGCATGTAGCGCGCTACATCGATCCGCGTCCCTCCCCACCTGCATTATTGCAGGTAGAGCGAGGACCTGCTAAATGATTTCACTACTTTATTAAAAATATCGCTGACGCGCCACAGATTAAGGGATTTGCACCCCTACACGAAAGCCGAATAAAGATAGCTTAATTAAACAAAACTACGTCTCGAGCTCGGCTTATCATAGTTTATTTTTACAAAATCGTTAGGTAGCAAAAAAACTGAATTTTATCTTTAAATTTTCAGTGTAAACACTGCGAGTCTTTATTCCCGGCGTTTCCACGGGCCAGCTGTCAAAATGTCCTTCAGGAGAAAGGATTTGTTTTCCAGTGAGGCGCGCTTGAAAGCGCTGCCTCGCCGAAAGGTGATTGTTACAGCAAAAACAAAGAACCGCTGACATTCTACAAAACAGCGTTAAAGCTTCCAGTGTCTACATCCAATATCTTTATGGACAGGTAATAAATTGAGAAAAACGAATGTTTTATTGGAACAGATATTACTGGCGGATAGAACGCTCCTCGCTAAATGTTTTTATTTATTGCAGGTGTACTTACAGCGCTTCATCTCATCAAATGAAGATGTTCTTTTAGTAAAAATAATATATATTGACCCTTTTTAATTCTGCACGAGCAATATATTTTATTAGCCACAAAAACGTTTGCGGGGAATTAATTATAATCGTAGTAAATAGCAAGGTGTGGTAATATGTATATTGACTTTCTACCTATATTAAGCGATAGTTTGATTGGCTAGCTCGGGTGACCCTCTAACAGAATTGATTTCCTCGATCAAAGTTTCATTGCGGCGGCAAATGGAATCGCCCACCTGTAAATGCAACTTGGACTCTCCCCCCGTCCCACCACCCACTTCTAACTGCGAATATTTTAAAGCCAGCCAGAATTACCCTGGACTGTAGCGACCATTCCGTGACCTCATAATAAAAATTATACTATTTCCCATAAAAAGTGTAAAGTACGTACCTCGCTGCGGTGAAAATTCTGTAAAATGGAGATGAAGTAATGAGAACTTGTTTGTTTAATTACACTTTAGTTGCCTCATTGTGGAAGAGTTGTGGAAAAATTGTTCACAATACACGCATTATTTAACTCATTTGATAATCCCTCACATGCAAATTGCAACCTTATTTACTTCGCTCTCAATGACTTTTTAAATATTAATGCATTAATCAACATATTCCATCAGTTCATTACCACCGAGATAGTGGCCATACACTGACCTATGAATAAAACTCAGAGCAAAACGAATAGAAAATTAATGTAATGTTATGGTTGACTAGATAAGTAGGAAGTTACAGATGCATGGAATAAACTATTTCAAATATGTTTTAAAGTCAGATAGAATTTATATTCACATCTTTAATACGTATTAGATGATTCATAAACGTTAATGAGAGATTGGCCTAAAACTAGTAGTTTTTAGCTTCAATAGCCTATCAGTGGCCACTGCTAAGTGCTGACCAAAGCCCTCTTTTCACTCGAAGAAGGTTTAACCTCTTGACTGCCGATATATGAGACACAATAGAAAATATATTGTGTCTCGCGTGGATCCGCGCTCCGGTGCACGACGGGTTAAGCAATTATCACCACGGTCGCTCAATGCGGGTTGACGATTGCAAACTTATAATTAGGAATTATAATAACTATATAAAATTCTCGTGTCACAGTTTTAGTTGCCATACTCCTCCGAAACGGCTTGACCGATTTTGATGTAATTTTTTGTGCTTATACGGTATCTATGAGAATCGGTAACATCTATTTTTCATCCCCCTAAATGTTCGGGGTAGTCCACCTCTAATTTTTTTTCGAGATTGCGCGTACGAAGTCGCGCGCAGAAGCTGGTAATAATTATAAGTTTTTAACTTCATCGTCCATACATTTAAAATGGACCATTAATGTTACGGCTAAATTCCTTTATCCAGCTGTATTGTACAAGTTAATTTAGCAGACTTCGACTGTATAGGAATTTAAACGGTTACTGTAACCGCTGGTTCAATTGTTCATTGGTTGTGCAAACACAAGCTCGTTAAACTATTGCCTAACGTTGTGTTATTAATATGCAAAACTTTACCCATTTAACTGAGTTACTCTTTGGTCGAGTGGCCGTTTAAACGACTGCTGAGCAAAGGGATTTGGATCCAATTTTTAAAATAAATTAAGTGTCATATTAAACCTATTAAGATACCCAAGTGAGCTTAGAAAGGGATATCGAGTAACACCGACTTGATCGAACCGACTACAAAAAATACGAAACTTTTCAATTTTCAATTTCATTTTGTTGAAAAAGAGAAAAAATAATGGTGGAAAACAAAAGGCGGAGAAATTGTTGATATTTATATTTTTTCTCTTTTAAACTTGAACGAGTTGTACTTGAGCAACTTTTAAGACAGCAGTAAATTACATTCAAATTTTTATACAAGATTTTGTGCTACAAATTCTATTTCTTGTGGTAAAATCGTAGCACCGTAGCAAATGCTCGTAGCACTTCTGCTGGCTACGCTCTTTGTCTACGCGGATTGCTACGAACGTCAAATAAATAGAAATAATGTTATTCATTCCTACCGTTTCCAAAGTCGGTTTCAAGTATCAAAACCAGTTGTATTGAAACATTATTGACGTCTATTTGACATGGTTATTGTTTTTGCACGAAGTGAATATAAATGTGAACTCGATTCGTATTTACCAGAATATTGCATCGATAGGATGAAAGTGGATGCTACTTAACATTTTGTTAATATGAATTTAAGCTATATTATCGCACGGGTGCAATATGCTTGTATTATACATATAAACATAACATAACATCACGCTTTTTTATCCCCGATGGGCTACCCCTTGTATATTACGGCACTTAATGCCACTGTACAATATAACACCCACTTTTCACTATTTATGTTGTAAGTCTCATGTAAAAGGGGGTGAGCCACATTTCCAGAGTCCGTGCTGCTACTGAGATTTTTAAAAACCCAGTAATACTTTGCCCGTCCCGGGAATCGAACCCGAGCCTCTTACCCGGTAGTCGCACTTGTGACCACTCGGCCAACGAGGCAGTGTACATAAACAACTACCAGTTCTAGAATATTTACTAAAAACTGTAAGTGACCAACTATGTTTAGAAAAAATGCTCCATTAGTTCCGTAGATCAACCACAACAAGCGGCAGCTTTACCTAAATAATCTGCTCGACGGTTAAGCCGGGGACGTCAGTATACTATATGTATGTTTGTATGTAGGTAGTGTGTCGTATATTAGTTACTGGTGCTCAGTGTCGCGGCGCACGTCCAACGTTTGTCTTCATTCTCGCCTCCCAGAAGCCACACACTCATTTTTATATAAATGAAAGGATATATGACCCCGGTGTATGAGCAGCTTTATTATTTGTTTGACATATCATGCGTTGGGATTACATTTTTTGATACAAGACCGAGTTTCCGTGCACAGTAATTTCGTATGCGGCTTTATTTACATGAGTTATGTTAAGTTTTTATTCAGTTTTGTTCATGAATAAAATATGTTTTCATTTCACGTTTACTAGTGATTCGTGTGTGGGGACTACAGAACTGAAATGATAACTTTATTATGGAAATTGGGGTCCTATCTCTGTGTTAGTTCATAATAATAATTAGTGCTTTTATGTCAAAGCGCCACAGAGAACTTATAGGACTCACGTTAGAAAATAATCAAAATCATTATCATCAACAACAGACTATAAGGCCTCTTCTCACACGGAGAAGGTATGAGCATTAATCACCACGCTTGCTCAAGGCGGGTTGCCGATTACAAACTTATAATTAGAAACTATAAGCCCATATTTCCTCACGATGTTTTACTTCACCGTTTGTCGGTGGTGTCTAGATATTTTTAAAAAGTACATATAACTCGGAAAAGGTCACATTGGTATTTGCCGTTGGTAAGTTTCGAGCCTGCGCCCTCATGCATGAGAAGCGGGCGTCTTAAACCTCCGGGCCACGACGACATAAGAAAATAATTAACACCAACTCATAAGAAAGAAATAAGGCTTATAATGAAAGAGTATATATATGTATATGAAGTCCGATCTTAGTACATTACACATGTAGCTATATGTTAGTAATATCTATATCTAACAGATAATCACAGGTGCGTCCCATTTCCGATATGAAGGTGAAATGCCTCCCGTCTATAGTTATTACGGCTTCTATCTCCGCAAATAAGGAAGGTACCGCTGCTAAAGTACTATATATGGGTAGATATACGTAGTATAAGATAAGGGCCCTATATACTATATACATCTCCTACAGTTACAATATTCTTACTTAATATTATAAATACAACAGTTTTTAAGTTTGTGTGTTTGTGTGTGTTTGTCCATCACGTCAGAACGGCTGAAGGGATCGGGTTGAAATTTGAAACAGGAATAGATTATCGTCTAAAATAAGACATAGGCTACTTTTAAGTCTTAGGGACGCGGGCGAAGCCGCTGGCAGAAGTTAAAGCGTGTATTGTTTATCTTTGAATATTCGGTTGTTTTTTATAGACAAGCTTTTGTTATAGTTTAGTATAGTATACTTAGTTAACTTAGTTATTCTCGACTCCAATACAACATGAGGACCAAGACTCAATTGTAATCCGCCAGGACCAATAGATACAGACTTTTAAACCAATTGAGTATTAAGAATTTAGAAAAAATAGCGCATTTTGATCTGATTCTCATATCATAACATGTACGTCAATGGCAGCAGGCAGGTCAATCGACGCTTTTCTGTGAAATAATATCTTTATTAGATTTTCAACTCTTATGTTTAGATATAAAGTCGAAAATCCAATAACAAAATTGATACATTAGAGTAGGATATGCTGGCCACTGCACCACAATGTTCCCAACTATTCACACGAACACGAGAATAACAAATACAGTACTGTATAAAAGTTATTAGTGATGTTAGTCAGCTAATTAGCAATTAGCCCAGAACGTAATATCTCGTGGTCTGCCACTTATCTAGATGTGGTCCATTGTAGAATTATTATGGACACGACACATGGACTGTTTATCACGATATTTCAATTAAGATGAATACATCTTAATTGAACTCTGTCTGTGTGCTCTTAAAAATATTTTTTTTTTCATTATCTACAATAGTTCTACACTAACCGGGGACTGTCCTTGGGTGCATTTCCATAGTGCATACAGGGATAGTCGCCGGTTTGTGTCCCATTGCATTTAGATTAAAGTTTATTTCGTGGGACATTTTAAACTATCAAACACCAAGCGGTCATCGGTGACCGCAACCTATTGTTCTATAATTGTGTCTGCAAAACCGGTACTCGACGAGTTAAATTAACTGTTACGTTTTTGGCTCACTCACGTAATTATTTGACGAGGAACTCGACTAATTTCAAGTCATGCTTGAGGCTAATTTTCATGAGCAGCATTTCGCGACCGCGCTGTTACTCTAGCATGGCTTGAAACTAGTCGAGTTCCTCGTCAAACAGTTACGTGAGTAAGCCGAAAACATAATAATTCGATAAGTTGTCTAAAGAGCCTCTGTGCAGTTGACTTCGGCCCCTGGTACGCCGCCTAATGACCGGGACTATGTGGTCCCGTCAATGGTAAAGACACACATAATAATAATAATTGTAGTTACCAAACAAATAACCTCTTTTTCAATTCCAGGGCTGGACGAAGTATTATTGGATACTTTGGATTTTGAAAATCTATCGAAACCTGACAGACTTCTAAAACTGTCTTTAGTTGATCTAATTGAAACAAACGCTTCAACTTGACTTGTACCAAAATAATCAATGGTATCTTCACTCTCCCTTACTCCTTCTCTTATCAAATATCTCAGAACCCTTCTAAGAATTAAAACGTGAGAGGTTTCATTAATTATTTCAAACGTTAGACAGTTTCAAAGATCGAAGTCGACATTGTACCTTCAAAAGTAATCTACGGAACTTTGTTCGCACTCAAAATGTTTCTAATTTCTTAAATATACAGATCAG